TAAACACACAAAACCATTGGATACATTTTTAGATACGTCTGGATGGTCAAAGGTTTGTTGATTACTTCAAAACAATATTATTAATTTGAGTTCTACATGATTTACATTCAAGGAGACGGTGAGCCATGACAGTTTGTTGATTTATCTAGGGCCTCGTAGGCCTTTGTTGATGTTTTAATCATAAATTTCAATATGAGGGACCATAGATAATACGCATGTGTTCAAATTTCATAATTAGTCGTAAATTTACTTAAATATGATGTTACGATATAATTRACTAATACTAATCAGTTTAGTTTATTATTAATTAATAAACATAATATTTATCAGTCATTAGAATAGTTAATTTATCAGTAAACAATATAATATATAATTATTGATATGTCATATCATTATAATTAGTTATGATATATCAGAAGTAATTTAATTTTTAATATACTGTATTATGTTGTATTACGAAATAGACGATAATGTCTTATTTTATTATTTTTTTTTATTTAAAGAAATATAGCTTCAACAACTTAGGTTATTAGCCTGACATTAGTTTTTACATGATATTTTCTTAAGATTAGTTTTATATATATTGTATATACAAATTACATTTATTGGATTACAAGGTTACAATTTTTTGATAATATTAACGGTACTTAAAAATTCTATTATTTTTGTAGTTTGACTTTCGCCCAACGCTTCTTCTATGGTAGGTAGCATGTTGAGGTTGGTGTGGGTTGAAGAATATTGTGAGCATTCCTCCACTATGTGTTTGATAGTTAAATCTACCTTAAAGGAGTTTGGTAAGGTTTGCATATTGGTTAGGGATCTTTACTAATTAAATGTGAGTGAATAAAGGAAGAGTGGCTGATTCTGGTTCGGGTGGTTGCGATGTTTTGACCGATTGAAATTAATGTCTTATTATTCATTTGAAAATATTTGAGATAAAATTCACAAATATAAATACCCTAAATTRCGTATAGTTTATTTACAAATTTGACTATAACGTAATATTATTTAATTGAATATTATTCCTAATACTATTCATGAATATTGTATAGTTTAAATACATTTCAATATTTTACAGTATAATTTATRACTTATAAGATCTATTATTTTTAGGGCGTTGCATTTATCAATGGCATCAATATCGGTAGATATTGGCCAGCAGTAGGTCCACAAATCACACTATACGTGCCAGCTCCGTACCTAGTTCTTGGAATCAATACTATAGTGATGGTAGAACTAGAAGGAGCTTCTGAAGATTTGACCGTCAAGTTGGTTGATAAACATCGTTTGGATTGGTGATTTAAAATAAAACAATGCCTCGTAAATTAAATTTATGTTATTCATAATACGAATTAATAAAAATAAATATAATATATATTCTTATGTGTATGTTTATATGTTTAAATAGTACTAGATGTCCCACCCGACGTTGCATTGCCCAAAAATTAATATATTTAATAAATA